GTTGTATTTCCAGAGCTCACCTGAGCACGAAAGTACTTTCTCAAGAGTTGCTCAGATAGAAGCTGAAAAACTCACGTTACTGTGAGCTCATTGTTCAGCCTGATGTATGAAATGGATTAAGTCTGGAGCTGGTTCTCTTGAAACACAAGTGCTTTATTTGGAAGATAAGAACTAGTTCAAATACTTGAAAGTTAAAAGCAAGTCTCATAGAGCTCTAATATTGTGTTAGACTTAGAAGATACCTTCGATTTAATTCTTAACAATATTAAGACTGAGTAATTACTACAAAATATATGGAGAAGTAATTTTCATCAGCTGGATGTTTGGAGCTTGTTTTGATTAGAACCTATTGTTCATAGCATTTTGGCTGTGTTTATGACTTAAAATGAAATCACTAGGAAAGAAATAAATAGAATTAGTAAATAGATTTAAGCTTTGATTGTAATAATAGTGCTTTGACACAAATAATGTAATTTAGTCTTTCTTAAAGTTTCTAGAGCATAAAGAAAATACAGGACCAATATTTGTACCCTGATTAATTTTAGACTAGTGGCTTCAAGATAGAAAAGGATACTTTCTGTATGTTTTTAAAGTTATTACTCTTCAGCAGGCTTAAATTTGATCAGTCAAAAGTCTCTTAAATTGACATTAAAATGGAAATATCTCTATTTGGAAGAATGTCTTTGTAGAATTAAATATATCTTTTGAAAACTTAAGATTTCTTAAAACATAGAAACAGTCTTTTCTGAAATAGTGCAGAATCAACATATAGAATTTGGTGTTGTCATTTCAGAATTTTTCTATTACACATCAAGTAATTTTACCAATATTCAAAAACAGTGTTGGACATTTTTAGGAAACAATGATTATATACTAGTCTTTAAACACACAGCAAGTGAAGCTCAATTGAGATCTACTTCATGCAATTTGCAGGCTAGGCTGTATCCTAACAAATGTGGATAAAGTAAGGGTCCAGGTGTCGAAGTGTCTGAAATGCCAGGTCGGAGTCTAACTGCCTTTGAGAACCTGAGAGATGCTGACATGCTGTGGCACTAAGGGCACAGTTTAACGGTGGAGGCAGCACTCTTCTCCCTAGCAGGTGACTAAGCTGGTTCACGGCGCATGTGGCACAAGTAGAAGCTTCAGGTTTCCAGGGATATTTCTCTAGTCCTTCAAGGTGTTGATGGCTGTGATTCCAATGCTACTTCCTGCTGTAAAAGCCTATGATTCTCCCAGCAACTGTGTGTGAACCATCACATCCTGTGAGGAGCTTGGAGAGAGCAAAGCTCTCTTCAGTTTACTGAAAATTGGAAAACTGATTTCTAGAATGGCCAAATACTTTCAACTTTCTGACAGGAAAGAGGAATATATTTTATAAAAAGGCATCACGTAACCCTAGAGGCTTCAGGTGTAGAACTTTTTACAAAATAATAAATTTCATGATGCTGTCAAGGTCTTAAGTGATCTTTTGCAAAAACAAGAAAAGGCATCAGAAGAAAAAGGAGACAGCTGGTCATATAAAGAGAAAACTACACTGCCATAAATAACTTGGCTTAATTCTTCTGCATGATAAGGTGTAGTTTAAGCAGGAAAAAAAAAAAAAACTTTTGATATTGAATGATAGAAAAAGCAATAAAACACATATTTCTGTAACAAAATCCAACACAAATAAAATTTAGTAGACCTTTTAAGGGATACATCTTTTTTCTTTGCTTGTTTGTTTTATAATGTTTCTTTCCACTTTTCTCCAAAAAAAAAAAAAAAAAAAAAAAAAAACAGGTTTTAATGCAAGTTTTAGGGCAGAGGAAAATGTTTCTTCAAACTAATTTTAAAATAAGCATATTTTTGGATTTTAGAACCTTAACCTTTTTGATTGAAGTCTTTAAAAGCCATGATTTCTGAACACAGAGGCATATTCTGGATAACGTTTAAAGCATTAATATCTAAAAACTACCTGTAGAGCTTATGGCTATAAACTACTGAAACAGTTTGTAAGTCCCACAGGAAAATCAATGTCATTACCTCAGCAACAGAACCGTCTGTCTCCAGTGGAGAAAATCTTTTATGATAAACTCTTCTGTACAATCAGGACATAATTCATTGTCAAAATGAACACAGAAAGCCCACAACTTATGATGGTTCACTTACAATTTTTCAACTTCATAATGATGTAAAAGCAACACACGTTCAGTAGAAAGTATACTTTGAGCACCCACGCAACCATCTGTTTTTCATTTCCTGTACAGTATTCAATACTAGCACAAATCATCACAAATCACCTAGCACAAAGCTTGTTTTATAAGAAAGTGTTGACTATCTGGCTGATTATAGGCTCATGCTTATAATCCCAGCACGTTGGGAGACCGAGGCAAGCAGATCACTTGAGGTCAGGAGTTTGAGACAAGCCTGGCCAACATGGTGAAACCCCGTCTCTACTAAAAATTCAAAAATTAGCTGGGTGTGGTGGTGCAATCTGTAATCCCAGCTATTCAGGTGGCTGAGGCAGGAGAAACACTGGAACCCAGGAGGCGGAGGTTGCAGTGAGCCAAGATCATGCCACTGCACTCCAGCCTGGGCAACAGACTGATTTCTTATGCCCCTTGAAAAAAGAGAAGTTCGGGTCACATTGGGTGTGGTTTGTTAAGGTGGACGTCTCCTGGGTGCTGTGTGCAGAACCCCACAGTTCCCTGGCCCGGCTGCCATTCACAGCTTTGTTCTTCGTGGACAGGACCTGGGTGCCCCATTAGCATGGGCAGCCCTCACCCCTCAAAAAGATTTTTAAATTTTCCCAGGATCCTGTTCCAGTGGTTCTGATCATAGGGATAGATGTTGAACTCTTTTTTTATATTTTTTACACCCTGATTTTGTGTGCCTAATGGATATTTCCAATTCTGTGTTCCAATGGCATTTGATGAGCAGCATACCTAATGTAAATTCAAAATAGTGCAACATTTTGGAAGATTGTTTGTTATGAGTAGTGAGGTGGACTCCACGTGTGGCCAGGGAGAATCATCGCCTCCAACGAGTCTTTCTGTCTCTGGTTTGCTGGTGGTCATCCCCACTGCTAGGCAGGACTGCCTTCTAAAGAGCTGTTCAGATGCTGTCACTTCCAAATCCCCAAACCCAGTAACACTACAACAATAACAACAATAAAGACGTCTGCTTCTTTTTTCCTCTCTGTGAAAACAGAAATGAGCACTGAATAATCTGTAATAATGATGGATTTTGTCATACATGATAGGACAGTTGAATGTCTTCCTTTCTGCCCTGTCTTCTTGGCATTATGCAATCAGATGAAGGTCATCAAATATTTGAATGACCCTGAAACCGGAGGTGATTGAAACCTTCCCCCTAATTTCTACCTGCCTTTTGTGGACATTTAGCATATCCCTTTGCTTTGCACCAAAATCGATGTACTCTTCTGCTCTTGAATTCCAAGCATCTTGAATTAAAATTACTGGTGTCTCTTAAATAGATCAGGATTATTGTAAAAATAATAATGTTATAGTTGTTAAAGACTGACTCTTTGTTTAAGGAAACTTTATGGAAGGAAATTTTCTTAGCCACTGAGTGTAAAGGATCAAGCATGCACTCTTCCTCCTATATAAAGTTGCAAATCTCAATCTTGATTATGCAGACATCAGCAGGGTAAAATTACATTGTGAATTTAAGAATGTATTTTCCTCAATAGAAAGCATCTCAGACTCCACGTTGATGGGAAGACTTAGCAAAAGTCATACATTCATTTGAAAATTTAATTTAATTTCTTTTTGAGAAAAGGAAACATTCAAAGTTTGGTGGAAATAGAAGTGAAGAGACCATGTGGCCCCTCAAGTTTCCAGCTCTCCTTTTTACAATTGTCAAAATTTGCATCACGATATGAAGAGAAATATGTTACTGTAAGACTGTCTTCACAGATGGCCTTAAAATATTGCCTCACATAAAAGCAATATATAGCTCTCAGTACCGCAGAAGCTAAATCTTCATTTCCGTCATCTATTTCTTTGAGTTTAAGAGCTTATTTTGATGAGGTCATTATAATGATTCATTTCTGGAGTTTCTGTTGTGTGTGGATTTCCTCAAGAGCCTCATAACCATGCACCATCAGGAGTGTGGTCGGCAGTAATTCAGGAGCCCCCAGTTTTCTGTGGGCAGGAACAACTTTTTCTTTTCCCACGAAGTTGAAATCTTGGAGTTTGGAGGAAGTTGTCGGGAAGGTGGGTGGCTCTTGACGATGGGCTGGAATACGTTCTGGCTGTCAGGATTCTGCAAAGCACCCTGGCGGTGCCACCGGGTGGCCCCTCTTCCTTGGAGGTCTAGGTTGTGGCAGAGAGGGCAAAGAGGCAGCAGAGCATCCCATTCCTAGAGGGCATCGGGGCTCACCAGAGAATCCAGTGTGCAGACTGGAGGCTTGGACTGACAGATAAAGTTGGGGAAGTCTGGAAAAGAAGAGCTTGAGGGACCGGGCACGGTGGCTCAATCCTGTAATCCCAGCACTTTGGGAGGCTGAGGTGGGTGGATTGCCTGAGGTCAGGAGTTTGAGACGAGCCTGGCCAACAGGGTGAAACCCCGTCTCTACCAAAAATACAAAAAATTGGCTGGGCATGGTGGCAGGCACCTGTAATCCCAGCTACTTGGGAGACTGAGGCAGGAGAATCGCTTGAACCCGGGAGGCAGAGGTTGCAGTGAGGCAAGATCGCGCCATTGCACTCAGACTTGGCAACAAAAGCAAAACTCTGTCAAAAAAAAAATACTAAAATAAAAAGCTTGTAAGTAGGGAGGAACAAATAAGGTGATCAAACTTCAAGAAATCACAAATGAGTAACAAATAGCCCCCAATACAGACCCATCTTTCTTTTCCCCTTTGTCAATTCACAATCTCCTTTTTTCTCCCTACCCTTCAAGGAGCATTTAGCAAACTTGTTTATTTCATCTCTGTTGTAAGGCAGATGTACACCGTGTCTTGAGTTCTGTTCATTCCTTCCCTTTCTCTCTTGCAGGTTTTGATTTGGTAAAATGTGAGGATCCGGGCATCCCTAACTATGGCTATAGGATCCGTGATGAAGGCCACTTTACTGACACTGTAGTTCTGTACAGTTGCAACCCGGGCTATGCCATGCATGGCAGCAACACCCTGACCTGTTTGAGTGGAGACAGGAGAGTGTGGGACAAACCGCTACCTTCGTGCATAGGTGAGTGTGGAAGCCAGTCAGACTATTGTGCAAAAGCCAGGCCTCAGGGAACTCATGCCATGTTGCTTTGACTTCCTTTATTGGAAAAGAGGAGGAATTTTATCACACCTTACAGTGTGAGTTTTTGTATCCTGAGATTTGCATGCGTCTGTGAGTGTGTGTTTTCAGCAATGAAAGACAGATTTTCTAGTATTCTTTTATGGAGACTATAGGTACAGTGTTATTATTACAATTATCACATGTGTGTCTTACTGCTTTATGCTCTCAACTTTAATTGCATGGAGGATAAGGGCTTTCCACAGAGGTTATGATTTGGAAGAAGTATTGAAATGATCAGGAGAGATAGATGATGGCGTTTCTTTTTCTCTATGTATATAATGCAGACATAATGGCTTTGGTTTTTAAAAGTAGCTAAATAGAAACGTGTGATGCCTGAAGTTGAATGTTCCCATCTCTCTGTGTCTTCTACAGCGGAATGTGGTGGTCAGATCCATGCAGCCACATCAGGACGAATATTGTCCCCCGGCTATCCAGCTCCTTATGACAACAACCTCCACTGCACCTGGATTATAGAGGCAGACCCAGGAAAGACCATTAGGTACTTGTTTTATTTTGGTTTCAGTGATTTGAGAAAAGAGATATGCCTTCTATTCTTATAGTAGAGATGGTGGTACACCAAATATCCATGGTTAAAGTTTCTGAACCAAAAAAGAAAAGGTAAAGCTGTAGCTAAATGTTACGTTGGCTCGCTGCTTACTTTGCTGTTCCCTTGAAACCATTTATTAAGTTCTATATAATAAAGACAAAATGAGAGTGTCTCAGTTAGTTTCTGCTGCATAACAAACTATCCCCCAAATTTAGTAGCTGAAAAAAATCATGACTTTATGGGTTGCCTGGGCTGTTCTGATCTAGGTGAGATTGACTGGGGATGAGTAGTCCTGGATGACCTTCCTTAAGTGTGAGAGCCTCAGCTGGGATGGTTGGGAAGGCAGGAGCCCCTCCATACAAGGCTTCTGTTCCTGCAGTAGGCTAGTCAGGATGGGAAGGTTGTAGCAGCAAGGGATGACAAACTTCCAACTTCTGCTTACATTACACTTGCTAACGTGCCCTTTGTCAAAGCAAGTCCCATGGGCTAGGCAAGACTCAAGTTATGAAGAAATAGATTCCACTGCTCTTTTAATAGGAAGAGAAGCAAAGTCATATTTTTAAAAGGCTTATGTACAGGGTGGAAGCAATGTGTATCATTTTGCAATATACCAAATTAACTTTGAGGTAGACCAAGAAAGTACTCTAAAGTAACACGTATAAAAGAAAATCATTGCAAATTTCAGAAAATGATGCGAACATTTAAACAGTGTTCTATTCCAATAGTGAGTTCTGAGTTATTACGGTGAGTTATTTAAATCAACAAGAATTAATATTTTAAAGTAAGCTCTTGGTGATCTAGTCTGTGATCTAGTCCGAAATCTGTCTCCGAAACCATAGCACATAAGGCAAAAGGTAATTTTAAAATAAGTTTTATGTTTAGTTCTTGTTTAAAATGAAGAGGACACACAGTCCTAAGCAATACTTTTTAAAATATATTTTTCCTTCAATTAACCTTTCTATTTCATTGTTGTTGTTATGAATTCTCTGTACAAAATTTGCTTTTGAAAAAACTCTGACCTCCAATAACCTTAATCTGCATGTCCCAGGTCTCTACACTCCTTCGTCATGCTATTGTACCCACCAAAGAGTAAATGAATTGGCCTGGCTGCTTCAGTTCCTCCTTCACATATGTGAAGCTGAAAAACAGTAACAGGTCAAAGTCAGGCTGGGCACAGTGACTCATGCCTGTAATCCTAACACTTTGGGAGGCCGAGGCGGGTGGATCACTTAAGGTCAGTAGTTCGAGACCAGCCTGGCCAACATGGCGAAACTCCATCACCACCAAAAATACAAAAAGTATCTGGTCATGGTGGCACACACCTGTAATTCCAGCTAGTCAGGAGACTGAGGCAGGAGATGTGGAAGGATGAAAAATATTCATAAACAAATGATTTTTGTCTTTATTCACAAAAGCCACCCTATCAAGCTTAGTAATGTATATTACATAGATATCATAGACTTCTTTCACTGCAACTGTATAACTTAACAGAAATAAAATGGGATGAAGTGGAGTGAGAGAAATGCATATTCTGTTACATGATGCTGTTTCTGCACATCTGACATCTGAGGCCTTTGAAATTCATGTGTCTCACTATTTAGTCACATTAACAACTTGGGAGTGAGTTGAATTGATGTGGCACAAACTATTACCACTTATAGACCCTATGTAAAAAAGATTCTCACTACATAAAAGGAGCAAGAAGAAAAATTAAAACATATCTAGAATGCAAACATCTTAGGATGGTGTTTCTGCTGCTATGATAGAATATTACAAACTAGGGGGCCGGGTGTGGTGGTTCATTCCTGTAATCCCGGCACTTTGGGAGGCCAAGGCAGGGGTGAGTCGCAAGGTCAGGAGATGGAGACCATCCTGGCTAACACGGTGGAACCCTGTCTCTACTAAAAATACAAAAAATCAGCCAGGCATGGTGGCAGGTGCCTGTAGTCCCAGCTACTCGGGAGGCTGAGGCAGGAAAATAGTGTGAACCTGGGGGGCGGAGCTTGCCATGAGCCGAGCTCATACCGCTGCACTCTAGCCTAGGGGACAGAGCGAGACTCCATCTCAAAAAAGAAAAAAGAAAAACAGAATACTACAGACTTACAGACTGGGTAATTTATAAAGAAATAAAGAACAGAAGTTTCTTTTCCTAACAATTCTGGAGTTCTGGAGGCTGGGAAGTCTAAGGGCATGACATTGGCATGTGATGAATCCACATGGTGAGAGCATCACATAGCCAGGAAGTACACAAGAGACAGAGAGGAAATGGGGCCAAGCTTAATTTTTTTTTCAGGAGCTCACTCCCACTGTAGCTAACTCACTCCCATGATAACAGCATTAATCCCTTCATGAGGGCCCAGTTCTTTTGACCTAATCACCTCCTAAAGGCTCCCACTTTCAATATGGCTACAATGGCAATTAAATTTCAGCATGAGTTTTGGTGGAGACAGGAAAACCACAGCACATACTATTTTATAATAACTCATTTTAAAATTAGTGTGTGCCCTTAAGATAAATAATTTGATGATTATTGATCTGTTGAACACTAAGGTATATCTGAGTAACAGAATTTAGTATTTCATATTCCTCATGAAAATCAATAAAGGTATGTTTCTGTGGAAATAAATAGTCCAGGCATAGTGGCTTACACCTCTCATCCCAGCACTTTGGGAGGATGAAGCAAGAGGACGTCTTGAGCCCAGCTGGTCAAGGCTGCAGTAAGCTGTGATCACACCACTGCAGTCTTAACTAAATAAATTAATTAAATTAAATATTAGTCCTTAACTTGGAATTCACAAATACTAGATTTGAGAAATGTAAAAACCACTCCACTGGCTTTGATTTTGAAAAGTTGTAGAAATCATCTATGATAATGGAGTGACTTTATATAAAAATAATTTGTCTTCTTTTAGAATTTCACATTTTTGTTTTTCTCACAATTTCCTTTGTGCTTTAATTTACTGGAATTAGAGTGAGCACCGTCTTTCTCTAAATGCAAACCAAGTGATGGATTCACTCTTTGCAGGTGAATCTAATAATTTGTTAACATTTTAATAAAAGAAAAGAGAAAATAGGCCGGGTGTGGTGGCTCATGCCTGTAATTCTAGCCCTTTGGGAGGCCAAGGTGGGCGGATCACAAGGTCAGGAGATCGAGACCATCCTGGCTAACACGGTGAAAGCCAGTCTCTACTAAAAAATACAAAAAATTAGCCGGGCGTGGTGGTGGGCACCTGTAGTCCCAGCTACTCAGGAGGCTGAGTCAGGAGAATGGCAGGAACCCAGGAGGTGGAGCTTGCAGTCAGCCGAGATCATGCCACTGCACTCCATCCTGGGCAACAGAGCAAGACTCTGTCTCAAGTAATAATAATAAAAATAAAAAAGAGAAAATAAATGAATTTTAAAAGATTTGAATTAATAAAAAATGTCCAGTTTTTATAGCATGAACTGACTTTGAAAAATTTTCTTCTTATACATATTTTTCAATATGAGGGTATACACTATCAAATTTAGAAGTACATCTATTAAATTTAAAGCATAAATTTCTTCCCAACAAGCAAGTTAAGAAGGTGGCATCAAATATTTATCATGGATTTCCTCAACTGACATTCAACTTAATCCCAAAATGTTTTCAATGATTGAACCACTCTTCATTAAGAATATAAATGCAATGTTTAGTATGGCGATCTGGAGAAACCATAATTAAAAGTACATAATATACTAAAATCATATATTATGTACTTAAAATTGTACTAATACTCAGAAAAATGGTGTCTGGTCTTAACCTTGATATTAGCTGGCATGGTTTCTAAGTCTTAATTTTTTCAATGGTAATATAGTCTATATTACCTCCAATGTTAACTTGAAAATGTGGAATACATCAGTCTATACATACGAACACGGGGATTAATTTAGCTATTTAAAATGTCTTAATATAAATATAATCATGACTATGCATTTATACTTTGATATCTTAATGTAAATATTTTTCACTCTCAAGGAATGAATAAACAGCAGGAAAATATGAAAAGGCTGGTTTCAATACTTTAGGCCAATTATTGCAGGGCTACATTGATTTCATTGAGGCCCAGAGCAATTTCTGCTTATATAGTGCTATTCTTCTTTGTTTGAGGTAATAGAATGCCCCAAAATAGTTATTATTATGGGGCTGGGGCTGGAAGAATTTGTAATTTTTAACATATATGCTATAAAGCAGTTACCTGAGCCAAATTTAATTAAAAGTCTAATCACAAGACATTGTAGAAAATTTAGCCCCATTGAAAGTTATATGGTAACATTTCTCTAAGAGATCCAGCATATTTCACTGCTGGGCACAGCCATGCTTTATATAACAGAAGTAACAGCATTATAAACTTCTTCAGCTAGCAACATTAAAAGCGATGTTTTACATAATCATGTGTGTACATTGTTCCTAAGTTTTAATTGCTTTTCTGCCAGTGTAATTGTCTGGAAAGCTCACTTTGAATGTATTTCTGTTCCTAATTGTTAGCAGGAAATTGCATTTGGTAGTATAGTTGAAGGGAATTATTTTTAATAAGCTCACACAGTATGAAAAACATTGGAGGCCTATCAAAAATGTATCAACGTTGTCAAAAGCATTCCTGTGCAGACTTTTAGAAAACATAATATGTGGTTTGACGACCCTGGTGTTCTGCTGGCTGTCCTGCCCTGGATTTTCTTTCTGGCAGCATCAGGTTGTAGAGAGATTAGAGTGAAACCTGCATTGGAGATCTAGGAATATTAATCTACTTCTGATCAATCTTCCAGATCCCAGTAGGAAATATACCAACAGGAAAACTACACATTTATCCCCAGTCTCCATGTCCAGCCTCTGCATATAGACCATGGGTGGGAGAATTTTCCTGACATGACAGACAGGTATGGGGCCAGTCAAGAATAAAAGCATCTCCAATTTCTCCATTCCTGTCAAGATC